TTCCTGGGAATTATAGAGAATTATAGAGAATTATAAAGTCCATCAGATCTTCTGGGCATATATTTGGGAGGTCTTGTTATAAGCTTTTCTTTAATGAATCTTAAATAGTATTTATGAACTAAAATATTCTCTTCTATTAAAACATCTGTTTACCAGAAGTAAACTATCAAGATTGCTCTTTACTATCTTTTTCAATCCCATCTGTTTTCCTTCCTACTCAGCAGCCCTGGAAGGCAAACACAATTCCAAACAAAGCACTGAGTTCAACCACCCACTATTTTTATTCCCTAATAAAATACACGTCAGGGGCTTTGCAAGTGTGCCACTTTCTTTTTCGTCTTAATTTAAAAAACACAAAACAAAATGGGATAAAGAGCCTTTTAGGTCTCAAGAGTATTTGTAAGCATGTTGGTTTTCATTTATATTGTATTACATCTCAAGGGTACCTCAAGGTTCTGTCTTGGGCTCTTCAACATCATCATAAATGAGGGGATGAAGGAGAACTCATCAAATTTGACACTAAGATGGCAGGAATTGTGAACATCTTAGAACAGGGGTGTCAAACTCACGTCGTCATGGTGGTGTCATGTACAGAGGTAGTGTTCTACCAGATCTAACGAACTGGATCAATTCACCCGAACTGGTAGCAGAAATCCCTGATGGTTCTATTTCGTCCTATTTAGGGATGTTTTTTGAGCAAAGCACATGCGTGGAAGGCTGGGCATGCATGGATGGGGTGCATCCGCACACATTTGCAAACCAGTAGGGAAGGTAAGTGAAAGCCACCTGTGGTCATGTGACGTATTGGGACTCCCCCCCCCTTTGCTAAACCGAATGTGGGCATGGCCAGTGCATGACACATCGCGCCTATGGGCCGGGAGTTTGACATCCCTGTTTTAGAAGGTAAGTCCAAGATTCAGAAGGATTGTGACAGGCTTAAACATTGGGCCTTATCCAACAAGCTATATTGAAATATTGTGGCCATTACCACTAGCATCAAGAAAAGTTGCCAACCCTCAGACAAAGCTTTGCTAAAGTCCCTCTGCAATCAGATTATCTACTGGGACTATCACTACTTTCTCTGTACTTCTCTGTACTCTCAAATTGCGATATCTAGGAGTTTCCTGAGAAAGAGGGGATCATTGTTAAATCGCTTTTAAGCTGCACTCTGGTTAGTAGAAACACAAAGGCTCACCAAAGCAGTCCTGAAGATACATTAGCATCTATGAATGCAGTACACAATTTTGTGGCATTTCTTGGAGAGAAATAAATGTCTGTATTATGGCACAACAATCACTATGGTTTTACATAATTGCACCACAGATACACCAGTCTTTCGGGGCAGATATCTTATGAACAAACAAAGGGTTTATCAACCTTGATACCATCTTTATAAGCCCATCCCCATTTAAGCTTTTTAAATTAGACCCTTTGGAAGGACTCATAATGCAAAACACAAGCACGCCTCTGTTTCACTTCATTATATTTTTAAAAAATAAAAATAAACTGAAATAACTACTGCTGGGCATTTAGCCAAGACTCTAGCACAGGGGTATCAAACTTGCGATGTCATGCAGTTGTCATGTGCTGTATCACAACTTTTTCCTCCTTCACTAAACCAGGGATGGGTGTGGCCAGAGTGTGATGTATCTGGCCTGCGGACCACAGGTTTTACACATCTGGTCTAGCATAAAGGCCTCTAAAATTATGATACATCAAGTTTGATCAAGAGTTCAGGATTGATTCTTCTCATTGTAAAACCTTATTAAATTAAAATCAATGTGAAACCACAAACCTACATGATTTGTAGATTTGAGTCTTCTTTTTTTGCCAACATTAACTTTTTTTAAAAAAAATAGAGTCATCTGTTCAAAGGAAAGTTCTTAGTTTCTAAAGAATTGTAAAGACTTTCTAAAAAATAGAGCCGCAGTGGCACAGTTGTTAGAGTGGAGTACTGCAGGCTACTTTTGCTGACTGCCGGCTGCCTGAAGTTTGGCAGTTTGAATCTCACCAGGCTCAAGGTTGACTCAGCCTTCCATCCTTCCGAGGTGGGTAAAATGAGGACCCAGAATGTTGGGGGCAAGATGCTTTGTAAACCGCTTAGAGAGGGCTGTAAAGCACTGTGAAGCAGAAGTCTAAATGCTATTTCTATAGTACTATTGCTATTGCAGGCTGACTCTGCCCACTGCCAGGAGTTCAATCCTGAACGGTTCAAAGTTCCACCTTTCCAAGGTTGGTAAAATGAGGACCCAGATTGTTGGGGGCAATATGCTGACTCTGTAAACCGCTTAGTGAAGGCTGTAAAGGACTGTGAAGCCATATACAAGTATAAGTGCTATTGCTATTGTGGCATGCAGCACAGGTAGTCCTTAATTGACAACTGTTCATTTAGTAATCATTTGAAGTTACATCAACAGCAGGGGTGGGTTCCTGCCAGTTCTAACCTCTTCTATAGAAGAGGTTCCACAAATCTACAGTGCCGTTTAGAACCGGTTCCAGCTCCCTCCCCCCCACCCGTCCGCACATCATCAAGATGAAGAGCGAGAGGAGGAATTCCGGGAGTTGAAACCCACAAGTCTTAAAGCTGTCAAGTTTGAACGCCCCGGGGTTTCTTCCCCTAAAGGGTTAGGGGTGTGAGGGTCTTGTAACTTGACAGCTTTAAGACTTGT